AGAAACCTGAGCCTGGCCATCGGTCTTGTTCCCCAGATTCGAGAGCTCTCTAAAGAGAGTTAGCTCTTCAGGAGGCCCAGCCCTAACCTTGGCTCAGATGCTTGGGAACTTTATGCTGCCCGGGAATAGGCAGCTTCTCATTCAGCCTGTGACGAGCACTGGTGGCCCTACGGTCACAGTGGAACGCCGTTCTAATTTTTCAGTAATTTAGGTTACTTAGGTTGATTCATTTCAAGTTCTTCAAGGACAAACATAAGCATCCTTGAAAGTAGACTACCTCAAAAAGTTTGCTTGGTACTTTGTTGCCTGTTGGGTTGACAACAGTTCTGCCCTCTGCTGGTTTTCTTTAGTATTCAAAAATCAAGCATCAGCCCTAGCAAGGAAGAATAGATTGCTACTTTATCTCAGCTTGTCATATACAAGTGTAGATACGAATATACTAGTGACAGTTATGTAAAAGTACAGAATCTGAGGCACTCTGCAATAATTACCAGTATTATGGGTTACCTGAATGCATTATCCTCCTGAAGATATTTATTTTTCTTTTCTTGTTGGGATTTCCAGTCAGTCAAATTTCTATGCTTTTAGGTCACAATTATATATTTTCACTATTGATTATAGATCATAAAAACACCTTTAGAAAGTATCTCAGGACCACACTACATACGCTTCAGGAAGTGATGTGTCTGTGTTGTATAAAAAATGAGAGAAACAGTGAAGCATAGAGCAGATGTTATTCCTGATGAAATATTTTGAAAATATTATATGCCGTTAGATAGTTACATGGAAAGATTTTAGTATTTATCTCTATGAAGTTGCTAGGTCCTTGTTACTTAGTGGAAAGCTACTTACTTACTAATCCAGTCTTGTTGACATTCATTCTTTAAACCTATTAAAATTCAAAATAAATAATAGGAAATAAATGCTTAAAAGAGAAACATCATTAGAGCCCCAATCACTGCAGAAGGGGAAAGTGAACTCTTTCTCCAGCCCTAAAGCCAGCATTTAGAATTGTAGCTGGAAGACTGAGTGAAATTTATCATCATATTCTAGGTGGAGGTGTTATTCTAGTATCATCCTTACTTAACAGATTTCCCAAAGGTATGTGTGTATGCTTCAGTTGCTAAATCAGAAGATAATTTAAAATGAGCTGATAGTCATATAAAATCAGAACACTAAAATAATATTCACAAGAAAGTTTTGGTGCTTTTTGGAAGTGGATTGATTAATGAAATTGATTTCACATAGCAGTTTACTTTGAAAATCTAAAGTAATTTTCAAGTCTTCAACATAGTGTCTCTACTATGACACTACATGCACACATACACACTTTTATTTAGTGGGTATCCATTGGTATTAGCTTTTTCAATGTTTGATATATTTGCTGTTTCATCTCAGGACATCATGGATTTTATATGTGTATAAATTGTATGTCCATAACTTACTGTAAAAAGGACCTGAGATTTATTTGAAATTTATAGTGACTGTGCTATGCCTATGTTGAAATACACTCCATATTGTGTGAGTTTTAAATCACAGTCAAAAAGAGCTGGCTATAACTGAATTATATGACTGTAAAATGTCTAGATGAACTTAAAAAAAAAAAAAACCTAATTGTAATGGCCTTTTGCCTTGGGCTTTTCAGCCAAATGTGTCCTGTAGACTGTTGGTGTTTTCTAAGAGGGATTTTAATGGCTGGCCAGAACTGGGTAGTGAATACTGCAGAACAGCTGGTTTGAGTGCCCGGGATCAGCAGGTGAAATGGTGCTGGCTCCCAGAGTGTGTGCTAGTTCAACCTGTGAGGAGCTCACACTTGTTTCTCTAGTTGTTTACTTAGAATAAGTTAAACTATCAGTTATTCTATTGCTAATAAGTGCAGTATTTGGTATGATAATTAATATTGTGTATTTTCATAAAATAAAAGAGCTCATGAATAAAACCTCTTTTGCACAGATTATACATCAAGGATTCGTTGGGGGTGGTGCATATTTATTTAGTCAACAAGGACTCTTTCATCTTATGCTTATTTGTTTTGTTATCATAATGTGGAATTTATATCAGTTAGAAACAATTTTATTAAATAGACAAATGAAAATTGTATGTCCAAAGACAGCATCATTGCTTACTCTTTAATTTTTTGAACTGTGACTAAAATAAAAGGTCAACATTTTAAAAATTATCCTTAAAACACAGCAAAGTAAACAATGCTTTTTGTATTGGGTAGGTTGAATTTATTTTCTAATTATTTTTGGAGATTGATTTTACTCCTGTTAATTTCTTGAGGCTTTAGTAGTATAAAAATAATTTAAGAATATTTATAACAGGTCAACTCATTTAAAAGAGTTAAAAGTGCTCATAAATTTCTCTCTTGAGAATTCTAAAATTAGAATCTACAGTAATTGCTAATTCATCCAACTTTTTCATTTTAGTAAAGTTGAAACAGGCACAAAATGGTGTTATTTAAATAATCCCTATAAAACTTTAAGTATAGTAAAAGGTTTTCTCAGTGTATAAGATGAAGTTCTAGAATATTGTTATGAACCATCTTTAATGTAAATCTCAGATTGATGGAATGACCAAGTTTATGTGATACGTTGGAGTTTTAATTAGCATGAGGACACTTTATATGATATTTTAAAGAAAAGTTAAAGGGTATGCATTTTAAAGTTTTAATTTTTTAAGTTTGGAGAAAGGCCATGTCTCATCATTTGATCCTGAATGTATTGCTAATACACTCTGTGAAGTTGATTTCAGATCACTTAGATTGGAGTAGAAAGAGTAACTCTAAAATAAATATTGTGTACAATAATTGCTGGTTGAGGACAAAGTATTTATTAATAGTATTGGAAGTAATATCAACAGAAGTCGCAATTTAAAAATTTAAATAACCCAAAGAAATTACATGTATACATATGTATATGTGTTAGATATATTATGAATATAAATGTATATCAAATGAGGAAATGCCATATTTGTTCTTTCTATACCAATTCTGATCATATATGTATCAAATGCATTCATAGGTCAGAATCATTATGTTTTACTTCATATTCTTTTTCTAAATAGACAGTTTATTTTTAAAAAATAAGGAGCTATAGTAGTTCAAATTCAAATTCAAATTTTTATTTTCCATTGATAAAATTGAAATGACGTTTAAATTGGGAATAAGTTTGCAGTTAATTAAGGAAAGGTTCAGTCTGAATGGGTGGCCATGATGTCTGTTTCTAGTGTCACATGAATAATTGTTGGGAAGTAGGGAAGAAACTTTCAATTTTGTATTGAAATATTAATTTCTAGAAATACTACCTTCAAGAGCTAGTATGTCTTTTGAAGTAAGAGCCATTCATTTTTTTTCAGGAATCAGTGTTCTTAGGGGCCTGAGGCTGCTTGTATGGATTCACCATGAGTTCTCTTAATAATGTTTAACAGTGCATAAGTATATGGGGGCTATAAATAATCAGTCATATCCATCACTATAAATAATTTTGAATGATTTATTTTTAGGTACTTCAAAGGCAGATTTTTATCATATCCAAAGTATGCTCTTCTACCACTCACCTATGGAGAAGTAATTAAGGGCAGTTGGTGTAAGCATTAAGAAATCAGGCTGAGGGTTGGTCTGCAGTTTTATTCCTTTACGCCCCTCATTTAATAATGGGGATATGTGACCTAGGCTGAAGTGGTGAGAGGAAACATCTTCCTTCCTTCCTTCCCTCCCTCCTTACTTCCTCCCTGCCTCCTCCCTTTCTCTCTCTCTCTTCTCTCTCTCTCTCTCTCTCTCTCTCTCTCTCAC